TGGCTTTTGGTTATGAATTCTATAAGTATAAATTGATTTACAAAGTTTATAAATTGGTGCTGTTTTCCACCCTTCCACATACCAATCCATAGTAGTGGTCCATCTTCTAAATGACTTGAAAAACAATTCCTTGCATATTTTCAGTTGATATTTAAAAGTTTTCATCACTTAAGTAAATTTTATACTGTGAACTAAGAAGAGTAAGATCCGGCACATGTGGGGAATATCTTTTGCTTAGTAGAAGAAGGCTTATTGTGAAGGAAGGCTTATTTGTAGGCTGATCAGTTGCAGGAAAGAATATATACGGAAGTTGAAGACCTGGAAATTGATTTCTTTAAAATGGTTCACGCATCCCTTAGGAAAGTCTTCATATAACCACCCTAGTTTGAAGATTGCTCCTAAAGGGATGGTGGAAAAGTCTAGCCTGAAATGAACTTTCTAGTTGTTGGCTTGGATACTGTGAACTCACTCAGAACTCACTCTGCCTCTGATACTTGGCATCTTTATTGGTGAGGATAGGCTAAGTTGTGCTGCAGTACAAATCGGCTCAACCTCAGTGGCTCAATACAATAAAAATATCTTTGTTACATATGTAGCTACACTGTTTGAAATTTTTAGTTTCCAAGGGGTCTGGAGGATTTCATGGGATGTTCTTAAGGATCAGGGCTAGAATTGTCTTTTATTATTTCTTCCTGTGTTTCGCTGGCCAGATCCCAGTCATTTGACCCCAACCTAACTGCAAGAGATGCTGGGAAATGAGGAGCAGAGGCATTTGGGATTAGCCCTGACTTGTATTAATACTTTGGCTATGGCATGGTTTAACTATGACTCAAAAGCCCTTTTTGCACCATAATTCCTGCAAATTTCTCAAGTTTTTATTAAAATAGTAGTATCCAACAGTTCCAAAACCGGCATGATTCCAAATCCCACGGTAAATAGCAAAGTTTTCACAGGGTAAGAGCAGTTCATAAGAAATTAGTTGTCAGCGGAGGTTGAATTATGAATTATCCATCTAACCATTGTCCTCTGGTTGTCCCTAAACAGTATAATTGCCTCATAACTTTAGAATTACTTTCACTCTACCTTTTTGGGTTTATAATAGGATTCCAAGAACCCTAATAACTAGTACCTGCGTGACGTGCACTTCTTTGCAAAGAGAATTATTTTTCCCTCCGAGACGGGGAGACTGGCTAGAGTGCAGTGGTGTCATCATAGCTCACTGCAACCTCAAACTCCTGGGCTCAAGCAATCCTCCCGCCTTAGCCTCCCGAAGTGCTAGGATTACAGGTGTGAACCACTGTGATTGGCCTGCAATGAGAATATAATAGTGTGGCATACTTGGTGGAAAGCCTTCAGCTCTATTCAGTGAGACCAACTTACTGTGAGAGTCAGCTGAGTATTGCATCTTAGATCTAAATCCTGAGTGGTAGCCCCCAAAACATTAAAGGATGAAAACAGTTTATGTTATATCTAGCACATGATTAGATTTTTTGAACAAAAATGGTACGTCTGTTTATCTACCCATCTATCTATCTACTTATCTCTGAAAGTATTTATACCAAAACACTAGCAATTATTAGCTTCAAATGATTCAAAAATTTTGTTGATTTTCTTTATCAGCATTTTCTTAATATTTTGTACTATTTGTTTATGTAAAGAGAAAACATAGAAATTAATTGCAAAAGTTGAGGATTTTTTGTTTTCATTGTGTCTCTTTCATCTACTTAATTACTTAATCTTAATAATGTAACAAGGGCTTCAGAAAATTAATATTAATTATTATTATTATTTTTTTTTGAGACAGAGTCTCCCTCTGTTGCCCAGGCTACAGTGCCTTGTTTCTTATTTCCTAGGTATTGAAAACAATTTTGCCTAGTGACCCCAGATTTATAATTTCCCTGGAAGGTCTTCTAGTGGATACTAATTTTCCAGGTACCCTATATTCCTAAAATTACCTGTCAAACTAGGTTATTATGAACAGAGCTTCTTCTATGACTTCTAAGGTGTGCTAGAAAGAAAACATGCTAATTACTATAGAAAAAGTGTCAGCAAATTAAGAAAGCATGTTTTGAAGAAATGTCCATCTTTTGATTTCTCACTCATAAGTTCTGATAGTTACATTCTCCATAAAAAGTCAAGTTAGCAAATCCTTTTGGTGTATATCATATGTTCTATTTGATATGGATATTTGACCAGTTTGTTTGTGACTTGGCCTGCTTTTGGTCTCAGTAGTTAGCTAGTACGGGTGGGAAGGGATGCTTAGTGTCACACAGATGAGCCACTTGTGTGGGCATCTGTCAATTATCCCTGCTCTGGTGCTGCTCAAGTTTATTTGTGTCGTGGAAACCCTAGGGCCAAGTACCAGGGGAGTCCTACCAAGCAGGTCTGGCAAGCATAGAATTGATGGCAGCTTCATTATAATTATACTTCTTTGCATGGTTGCCCAGCTGTATCATCATAATAGCTTTCCATACTAGAGGCCAAAAAGACAGATATACAAGCTGCTCAATATATTTCAACAAATTATGTTACAATTGATGCTTTTCCAACTGTTTTTCCCCTTGTAATCATCCCCTACTCCCAACCAGCCTATCAGATTTTTCACAAATAGGCTCTAGTTTTCCTTTTTAAACATAGCATATTGAGAACCATATTTTTTTCTATTCCTTAAAATAATCCTGTGTCCATCTTTTTTTGTTTTCAAATCTGGATTTTAAGTTATTTGCTTAAATATAGGTGGTGTGACTGTATAATACATTTGTGATAATGATGATAATAATAACACTTGCAAACTTTTAGTGAGCATTTACTACATGCCAGGAAGTGTACCAAACACTTTACATACAACATTTCATTTAAACCTTTCAAACCTTGCAAACTGTACGAAACACTTTACATAAAGCATTTTGTTTAAACCTTGCAAATCCTAGGAGATAGGTGCTTCAGATGAGGAAAGGGAAGGTCAGAGAAGTGAAGTTACCTTGCCCAATGTCTCTTGTGTATTAAATAGTAGAGCAGGAACTTGTTTTATTTATTTATTTATTTATTTTTAGAGCAGGGAATTGAATCCAAGCAGTCTGATTTTTTTTTTTTTTTTTTGAGACAGAGTCTCACTCTGTTGCCCTGGCTAGAGTGCTGTGGTGTCAGCCTAGCTCACAGCAACCTCCAACTCCTGGGCTCAAGCAATCCTTCTGCCTCAGTCTCCCAAGTAGCTGGGACTACAGGCATGCACCACCATGCTCGTCTAATTTTTTCTATGTATTTTTAGTTGGCCAATTAATTTCTTTCTATTTTTAGTAGAGATGGAGTCTCTTGCTCAGGCTGGTTTCGAACTCCTGACCTTGAGTGATCCACTTGCCTTGGCCTCCCAGAGTACTAGGATTACAGGCATGAGCCACCACGCCCGGCCTATGAGCTTCCAGTATTCTTTACTAGAGCAGTATATTCAATGGACGCCCTCGCTAAGAATCACTGTACTCTTTGTGATTCATCTCAAGCCTATAATGGTGTGTGTGAAAATGTGTGAATTCTATAACCATCATTCTTACTCCACTGGTCATGGAGCTACATGGAGGAATTCTTAAGAAATGGAAGTTCAAGGAGAATTTGAACCAAGAATTTTACAAAAGTATATTGAATTCTCAATCACTGCCAATGGAAATGAAAAATGGTACAACCAATTTGGAAGATAGTTTGATAGTGTCTTACAAAACTAAAGATAATCTTACCATCTGATTCAGCAACCATACTTCTTGGTATTTACCCAAATGAATTGAAAACTTATGTCCACACAAAAACATGCATACAATATTTATAGCAGCTTTATTCATAATTGCCAAAATTTGGAAGCAACCAAAATGTTCTTCAGGAAGTGAATAGATAAATAAACTATGGCACATCCAGGCAATGGAATATTATTTATCACAAAAGAAAGATCTGTCAAGCCTTGAAAAGATATGGAAGAAACTTAAACATATATTACTAAGTAAAAGGAGCCAATCTGAAAGGGCTACAGACTGTATGATTCCATAGTTTTGCCTGAAAAGGCAAAACTATGGAGACAGCAGTAGAAAGATCAGGAGTTTCAAGGGATGAATAGGTGAAGCACAGAGGATTTTTAGGGCAACGAAATTACTCTTTATGATAATACAATGGTGAATACATGTCATTATGCATTTGTCAAAACTTATAAAATGTACAACATCAAGAGTGAACCCTAATATAAACTGTGGACGTTGGGTGATGATGATCCGTCAATGTATGTTCATTGATAGAACAAATGTACCACTCTGGTGGGGGATATTGAAAGTGGGGGAGGCCATGCATGTGTGGGGGCAGGGAACATATGAAAAATCTCTGTACCTTCTGCTCAGTTTTGCTGTGAATCTAAAACTGCTCTAAAAATAAAGTCTATTAAAAAAATTATTGAACCAGTAGTTAATTTCCCCCCTATGGACTTAAGTTCATCTTCATCTCAGTCATCATGATCTAAACTTTGTAAACCATTTGGCTGAAATTTGATTTGTTAAATGTGTTCATGTGAATTATTAATATAATTATTGATCTATCGACTTATTTTTGTAGCTGATGAATAAAGAGAAAAAGGGAAGTACACATGATTGTAAATTGTTTAATAGACTGTTAAAATTTATTATTTCCTCTGTCTTGAAAGAACAAATGTGCAGAGATCTTTGTTGTTACTTTCAGAATCCTACTTGTTAGGATGTCCTTGTTTAGTTACCTTTTTATTTTTCATTAGACAAACAATCTTCAGTATAGCTGTGAATAGTCTGGTATTAGAGCCTTTAATTTTTACAGATCAACTTTTAATTGGATAAGAGCAAGATTTCTATGTTACATATAAAGCGGAATCATAGTGAAGGATAGATATTGTTTTTGATAGCAACAGATACTGCTTAAAACAGAATACGAAGAATTCTGCATTCTTTCCTCTGAAAATTAGTAATCAATACTCTTCAAATATTTTTTGTGTTTGCCAGATATGGACCATGTAAAGCCATTGGAGGGTGTAAAAATTCTGGATCTAACAAGGTTTGTACTGGTTTATCTGTACTGTTTTGGTGATTGGGTTTTCCTCTTCTCTCAAAAACATTTATTTATTTTTGGATTATGAGAGGATACTTACATGTTTATGTTGACATTTTGGAGAAGAAAAAAAGAAAAGAAAAATTCCTGTAGTCTTTCAGTGTAAAAGGTAATTAGTGTAAAATTTATGCATTTTCCCAACCAAAACATTTATGTATAATTCAAAAAAACAAAAATTGGAAACATTTTAAAAATTACAGTTTTATACATTTTAAAAATGTTATATTTTGAATATTTTCCCATGTCATTCAAAATTCAACAAAAACATAAAATAGTGTTTTATTATATAGATGTCACATAATTACTTAATCATCCTCAAACATTCACTGTTATAAATTAGGCTTCCTTGTATACAAATCTTTGACTCAGTTTCTATTTCTTCTGCAGGATAGAACTCTAGAAATAATATTACTGGGTTGAAGGGGATAAACTTTTCTAAAGCTCTTGATACATATGGCCAAATTACAGTTTGAACAATTGTGATTGTTACTAGTATTATATGAGTTGGTCTGTGTGGTTGGACTATTAAGAAGAGAATTAACATAAGAATTTTCAAGATGGTAATTATTTATCATTGTTAACATTGTAGAGTCCTGGCAGGACCTTTTGCTACTATGAATTTAGGAGATCTTGGAGCAGAAGTCATAAAAGTGGAGAGACCAGGTAAAGCTACTGCCCCCTTTAAAAAATAGAAACAAGCTAATAAATATTAGTATTTTTAGTAATTCTTTAAATATCCACCTTGAGTGTACCTGTAAGTGGGTAGAAGAGGGATTGAAATGAATTGATTATTTTCTCTTTTCTATTCCTTATTTTCCTCTGAAGCTATACTTTTTTTTGAGACAGAGTCTCACTCTGTTGCTCAGACTAGAGTGCCATAGAGTCTGCCTAGCTCACAGCAACCTCAAACTCCTGGGCTCAAGCAATCCTTCTGCCTCAGCCTCACAAGTAGCTGGGACTACAGGCATGCACCATCATGCCTGGCTAACTTTTTCTATATATTTTTAGTTGGCCAATTAATTTCTTTCTATTTTTAGTAGAGACAGGGTCTCACTCTTGCTCAGGCTGGTCTTGAACTCCTGACCTTGAACGATCCTCCCGCCTTGGCCTCCCAGAGTGCTAGGATTACAGGTGTGAGCCACTGCACCCAGCCAAAATACTCTATTTTAAAAATGTTTGTAGACTTTTACTTCGAAGCAAGACCTAGACAGCTAAAATTTTATTCTAAAATATTATTTTAAATTATTGACATTTGCTATTTAGTAACTTAACTTGCCTTTCTGATTTGTTGTTGCTACAGAAATATTTTGTAGACTTGCTTATCCCTATTCTGTACCTAGCCCCAGATGCCACTTTATCATAAAGACTCACACATCATTATTCTGATTTAAATTGTATTTAACAAAAATATTTTGCAGACTCAGTATTTTCTCATACATTCAATGCCAAGAAACACTGAAAGAGCTAACTGACTTGCTTGCCAAAAACTGACAGTAATTTTTGGACCCTTGGTATTTGCTGTTCATTAAATCTAAAGACTGCCAGTAGTATATTTCCTTCGAGATTCTGACTTTCAATAATGGAACTTGGTGAAAGAGGCTATGGAAAGATTCAGTGATTAACATGAATAGGCAAAGAGCTTGGGCAATTTTAACAAGCTCCTATGGCCCCCTGTAGGCTGCTGATTTCACTGCACTGAGCTGATCTTGCTCAGGCGCCTGTGGAATATTTATGATGAGTTAGCCTATTGGTTTGAAATGTCTCATGATGTTTCAGAATTAGAGATTAATAGTTCATATTATTGTTTTCAGGAACTGGTGATGATACACGAACTTGGGGGCCACCTTTTGTGGGAACAGAAAGTACATATTTTCTCAGTGTTAACAGAAATAAAAAAGTAAGACATCATCCCTTTTTTGCTTTTGTAGAGTAATTCTCGTGTCATAACAAAAGTTTTGGTATCATTATGGCTTGTTTTTTTTTTTTTTTTTAGATGTAACTAATATTTCAAATAAGGTGAAATTTTATTCATTCACCAGTCACCAAATAGAAACAATAGAGCTTTTTACTAATCTTCCATCTCTACTAAGTAACTTTCATGAGAATTTATAATGGGACTAATTTTATGAAAGGGAAATCATTTGATTCTTTACATTTGTTATTCTTTTGGAGAATGCTAATTGCTTAACATTTGCTATTATTATTGGAAAACATCTGCTATAATTCTTGATATCATCCTAAAAAATCCTAATTGCAAATAAAATCAGTAAAGATGATTTACATATTTAATTATGAGTAAAATAAATTTGCTTTAAGAGGGGAATCTATGATATGAAAGGCTTTCTTGTTGAACTGTCAGTAATAAGAAAAACTTTTATGATAGTATTTTAATATACATATTTTAATTTTTAGAGCATAGCTGTTAATATCAAGGACCCAAAAGGGGTGAAAATCATCAAAGAGGTACAGTATGCTCTGGGGAAGGCATCTTATAACCAAGGTTGTAATTAGTGATTTAAACGTTAGAGTAAAAGTGTTTTAAAACTTGATTTTATTGACAATCTGTACTTTTGTGATAATCTTTATTTCTTGTGACCTTTAAGTATTTAACTTGACTTTTATAGTAAGTATAATGTGCTTTATAATTTCTTGTATTTTGTGTGTAATTATAGTACTAGTTACTATTGACTGAGTGCCTACTCTGCATCAGATCCTGGGTTTGGGCACTTTACTTCCATTATGTCCTCTAATCCTCGGAATTAGACTTGTAAGTGAAGTATTAGAATCCCTGTGTTCATGGAAGGGAATTGAGTCTCATGGAATCTAGGATGCTCCGAAGATTACTTATCTAATAAGGGGAAAAGTTGATATTTGAACCATGGTCACAGCAGTGGAGAGCCCAAGCTTTTTCTAACGCTTACTCAAATGGCCAATATATTCACACCCAATCTCAGCATCTTTCTTTGAGGGGCAGGAAGGCATAATGGTTGAGGATACATAGCTTCACATGGAACTTGAATCTTGCCTTCTCTGCTTACTGGCTGTATGATGTCAGGCAGCTGACTTAACTTCTTTGTGCCTCAGTTTTTTTCATCCGTAAACTGGGGATAATAATAGTACCTACATCTTAGGGCCATTGTTAGAATTAATATGTGTAAAGTATGTTGAAGAGTGCTTGCCAAATGGTCAGCACTCATTAATTATTAACTATTATTATTTTCTGATGCACATGATGTTGGATTCATCACATGAGACAAAACTTGTTTGCCATCTTTGTTGAAGTTTACAGTCTAATCTAATGGATGTATAATGTGCCTAAGTAAACAGGGGATTGGTTCCAGGACCCTTGAGTATACCAAAATCTAAGCATACTCAAGTCCTGCAGTTAGCCCCGCAGAACCAGCTTATATGAAAAATGGTCTTTGGCTGGTGCAGTGGTTCACTTCTGTAATCCCAGCGCTTTGGGGTGCTGGGAGGATTGCTTGAACCTAGGAGTTCAAGATTACAGTGAGCTATGATTGTGCCGCTGCACTCCAGCCTTGGTGACAGAGAGAGACATTGTTTCCCAAAACAAAACAAAACAAAACAAAACAAAACAAAACAAAAGTTGAGTATAAGTTACCAAAGCATCAACTTCAGCTTCATTGCTCTGCTGCTACTTTATCTATCTTGGTGACTGACAGGTAATTTTTAATTATTAAGATCAGAATCAGTGCCCATCCTCTTTGGTTCTGTTGCATCAATCCACCCAATTTAGAATTTTTGTTTACTAGATATATTTTGAACCCCAAACTTGAAAAATTTCTTGATCTTACCACCCTGCTTTCCCATATCTTTTCTATAGCATAACCTAGGTTTAGTTTGTTTTTATTTTTCTTTTCAAACTCAGTTAATTTTTCTAAATTGTTCTCCATTGTTGTTGGACTGCTCTGTTTTCCAACAGTGACCACCCTTGCCTTGGACTCAACTCTTATTGTCTATATTCTCGGACAGTAAGAAGTATCTTCTCCTCAATAGTTATTATTATTATTATTTTATCTAGGAGACTGTTATACCCCCAATACTTCTCTCTCTGTTCTGTGTTTCTTGGTATGTCTTCAGTGTTCACAGTCCTGCTTCTTTTGTTCCATTACAGAACATTCTGATAACTTATGCTGAGTAGTCAAGGTTTCAGACTTGATTTAAAAAATACTTTGCATTTTATTAGGGTTTCTCAATGTGACAGTGATAGGTGGAATTCATAACTATTGCTACTAAGACATCAATGTCCATGTGGATATTTTAGCTTACATGTATAATTCTGACCAAAATGAATGGATTGCCTGTACTTCCTTCCCACTCTCCTTGGATCCCACCAGTGTCCTCTACCAGATTGTAACAATTTAAAATTATGTTTCATTATGGGCTTTATTTCTCTTCAAGTCTGACTGATAACAATAAATAACATTTCAACTGATACTAAGCTTAAACAGATTGCCTGGGGACATTATTTATGTCTATTTCTTTTAGTTATGTATCTTATTGCCTAGTGGAAAAAGTTATTTTTTTGCGTAGTCTTTTATATTCTTTCTGGCATGGATTTCTCTTTTGGCCTTAAGAGTAGCAAAACAACCCCTGCATTCAGACCTTGGTGGCTATGATTGCTAGTATAATGAGTCTAGTTTATAGAAACAGTTCCAGAGTATTATACAAGGCAATCAGCTAGACACATGAGAGCTCCAAAAAGTATGACTCCTTTGTCAACTAGGCTAACCAAAACCAGCTTGTATAAAAAGCAAAGCTCTGCTTACAAAATCTATGTGGAGCCTAGTATTTTCATGGCAATATGATTTGATAACTTTTGAACATGTGTCATTCAATATTTGGAATAATTCTTTATGTTAATTAGTTGACAGTCACAATATTCATATTATGGGCATGTATAATCGGCAGCAGAAAAATGCCATGGGTTTTGTTTTCCTCCAACATTTTATTATAAAAAATTAAAACATTCAGAAAAGTTGAAAGAACAATTAATGAACTCTCACTTATCACATATCTAGATGAAACAATCTTGGCATTTTGCTATACGTCACGCTGTTTGTTTTCTTTCGTGTCTGCAGAAGTGCTTTGTAAGTAGTAGATAGAGGCTTAGAGAAATCTGTGGAATGAATTGAAGTGTAACTGAAGCCCGTGTTTTACTTAATTGTAACAGCTGCCCTCTACCCTCCCAAGCAGAATCATTAATCATAAATAAATGCATTTCTATTGGGGCTCATCCTGGAGCATACTTTATGGAGTTGGCCATGTGAAAAGAAGTTCAGTTGTTAACTGGCACCTGAAATTTGGAAAGGATGCCTCTATGGCTTGAGATTTCAGATGCATACTTGAAACCTTTCTCTGTCCTAATCTTAATATATTTATATGCCTCTCCTGGGCCCCTGGTTTTAAGCATTCTGGATGATGACAGTTTATATCCTTGAGATATTTCCTAAGATCCACCTTGCCTCCAATTTTGTTAGGTCAGATAATTATATATATATATATATATACTCCACAATTATATATATATACTCCACATAGTGTATATTATGTTGATTTAACAGACACTCAATTTATTTACATGTATACATCTAAAATTTATATTAATTCAAACCTTTCCATCTAGACAAATGGTTCGGAAACTGTGTGCCGAAATAGGCTTTTTTAACTGCCATGGATAAGGATCGGATTTTAGATTTTTAAAGATTGTTAAAGAGGCCGAGGGTGGTGGCTCACACCTGTAATCCTAGCACTCCGGGAGGCCGAGGTGGGTGGATCGCTCAAGGTCAGGAGTTCGAAACCAGCCTGAGCAAGAGCGAGACCCCGTCTTACTAAAATAGAGAAATTAATTGGCCACTAAAATATTATAGAAAATTAGCTGGGCACAGTGGCTTGTGCCTATTATCCAGATACTCAGGAGGCTGAGGCAGGAAGATCGCTTGAGCCCAGGATTTGATTGCTGTGAGTTAGGTGACGCCATGGCACTCTTAGCCTGGGCAACGAGTGAGACTTGACTAAAAAAAAAAAAAAAAAAAATACAATTGCTAAAGAAAAATAAAGGAGGATGTGTGACAGAGAATGTACATGGCCTGCAAAGCCTGAAATATTTACTATTTGACCTTTGTAGGGAAGGTTTGCCCACCCCAATCTAGAGTCTTATTCTGTTACATTAGTTTGTATATGTGTGCATATCTAAATCAATATCTAAATCTATGTTAACAAGGAAATTAAAAAAATTATTGAATAGTTATTAGACACCTGGATGTGTTCAAGAATTACTGTAATGAATTTATGTGAGTGACCTAGTACAATTTTGTGATGATTTAAAAAAGACTTTAAAAGGTATGAGGTCACAACTGAAATTTTCAAAAAGAATTAAACTAAGCTTTACAATGGTTAATTGTCCTCTAATTCTTATAGCAGTGTTCTGGGAGTCAAAATCTGGATCCTAATTCTGACAGTTACTGGTTCACCGGGCTATAGTTTAATAGTTTGAGATAAACTCTACTGGTACATTAAATACATTTAAAACTCACTGGAGGCCGGGTGCGGTGGCTCACGCCTGCAATCCTAGCACTCTGGGAGGCTGAGGTGGGAGGATTGCTCAAGGTCAGGAGTTCGAGACTAGCCTGAGCAAGAGCGAGACCCCCATCTCTACTAAAAATAGAAAGATTAGCTGGACAACTAAAAAATATATATATAATATATAAATTAGCCAGGCATGGTGGCGCATGCCTGTAATCCCAGCTACCAGGGAGGCTGAGACAGGAGGATCTCTTGAACCCAAGAGTTGGAGGTTGCTGTGAGCTAGGCTGACGCCACGCACTCTAGCCTGGGCAACAGAGTTAGACTCTGTCTCAAAAAAAAAAAAAAACAAACAAAAAAAAAAACCCCAAAAGCTCACTGGAAAGAAAATGTCTGAAAAGTATAAGAGCATTTCAGAATCATGTTTACATTTATTAAGTGAATGTTATAATGAGTAGTATTACATGATAGAGATGAAGAGTAGTAGACATGGTATTTAGTTTTTTTGGAAAGGTTTTAAAAGATGTTTTTCATATATTTCATGTACTTATATTCTAATTTTTCTACCTAACCTTTTGAGGATATATTTGGACAGACCACATAGTATAGATATTTCTTTACCTAGGCTACATTTAAAGGAAGCAGAATCCATTTAATACCAGGTATTTACAAAAATGTAATAGCCATTATTTTACTGACAGTAATACTTTGAGTAGTTGGCCAAGGTTTTTATGTTTATCTGATTCTGCTTCATCTGCCTCCTGTGATTTTTCTGGACTATTACAAAGTGAGGATCAATTTTGTGTACTAAAATTAAAATTCTGTTGTGTTGGGATTTATCAAAAGTTTGGAAGTCTGACTCATCTTTACCCCTTCCTTCAGCTTGCAGCTGTTTGTGACGTATTTGTGGAAAACTATGTCCCTGGCAAACTGTCTGCTATGGGCCTGGGATATGAAGATATAGACAAGATCGCTCCTCACATCATCTATTGTTCCATCACAGGTATGCCAACCCCACACCCCCATAGTGCACTGGTTTTCCATTTCATGTTTTCCTGTTTCTTAAGGAACCTCTTGCTGGTATTGGTTTTCTGGAAGTGATTCTGCTTTTCCTTTACCGAGGCCATTTAGGCTGCTGAATACTAACTATTAAGGAACACTAACCTAAATGAAGATGTTCATGAATTTATTGGCAATTTGTATTTCTTGTTTGAATTGTCTGCCTGTATAGTCTTGGCAGTTTTTATATTGATGTTTTATAAATATTTACAAAGTACTGTTATTAACTTATATGTAGGTAAATTGTAGGTGAAATATTAATTGGCTTTAAGATAACACAGAAACTAAACATATCCCTTCAATATATCCAGAAGCACGAAGCCAAGGAAAGGAAAAGAATGCTACAGAGTCTTCTGATTGTTCAGCCCTTGCCAGTGAATTTTGTGTGTGTGTGTGTGCATGTGTGTGTGTGTATGTGTGTGCGCGTTTATGCTATAGGGAAAAAAGTCACACTGTCACTTAGTTTTACATAGAAGTACTTAACTAATAATTAGGGATGCAATATAGCAAAGTTATAACTTAAAAATAGAAAGTTATAGTTTTTGTGAGAAAAATACATAATATTTTCAGTTTGTATTCATTCATCCACCAAATATTTACTACAGGCCTATCATCTGCCAGTCAGTATTCTAAGGTTCTGGGATAGGGGAGTGATAAAACACATCTATGTTCTATGGGGGATTTATATTTTAGATTAGGAAAATAGATAGTAAATATATAAGCACTTTTCTTTTTTTTGGCGATGGAGTCTCATGGTGATGAGAGGTAAAGAGAAAAACAAAGCAGGGCAAGAGGGTGGGCTAAGGAAGAGCTGTTTTATGTTGGGAGGTGAGAGAAGGCTTTACCTATAAGGTGGGATTTGAATGGAGACCTGCATGAAGTAAAGGAATGAACCACCTAGCTGCTGGCAAAGTGGGTGTCAGGCAGGGCAAACACCAAGTGCAAAGGACCTGAGGCAAGAAAGTGCTGGAGGTGTTTGAGGACAAGCAATGCCGGGTGGCTGAAGCAGAGTGAGCAAGGCAGGAGTCACAGGAAGAAAATCAGGGAGAGGTTGGTTAGCAAGGTTGTATTAATAAAAGGCCTGTGGGCTACTTTGAAGGAATTTGGGTTTTACTCTGAATAAGGTTATAAGCTAATGGAGGATTTGAGCAGAAGAATGATGTGATCTGAAATATTTTTAAAAGAATCCCTCTAGCTACTGTGTTGAGAATGGCCTGTGGAGGACAAAGGTGGAAGCAGAAGCACAACTGTGAAGCTGTTGAAATATTCCAGGCTGGAGACAACGGTGGCTTGAAGTATGGTAGTCGTGGTGCAGGAAGTTGAAGGGTGATAGGATTCTGAATATCTAAGATAGTCTGGCTAGGATTTATTCATGGATCATATATGAGTCTTGAGAAAGAGTGGTATTAAGGATAACTCTAAGATTTTTGCCTGAGCAATTAGAAGAATGGAATCACTATTTACTGAGTTGAACAAGAGCGGAAAGAAGTTTTGGTGGGGAAAATATCAAGAGTCAGGTTTTGGACATATCTTGCTTCTGATGTCTGTTAGTTATTTAAGTGGAGGTGCAGAGCAAAGGATGGGATCTAAGAGTCAGGAGTTCAGAGAAGATGTAAAATTTAATAGTTTTGAGCACATATAAAGCCTGGGTGAGATAATTTGGAGAATGAGTGTAGATAGAGAACAGAGAGTCTGAAGGGCTGAGCTTGATGCACTGCAAAGACCAGATGATTGGGAGATGGTGAGGACACAATGAAGGAGACTGAGAAGGAATTGAATGAGGTGGGAGGAGAATCTCCTGGAAGCTAAGCACAGAAGTGTTTATGTTCATAGATAGGTTAAGCAGAAAGGCATAATGTGTAAAGCACATATAGATCAGAATTACTTGCATTTCTGAAATTCATTATGATCTCCCTCACTTCAGAGCCTTTACACATGATGTTTCCATTGGTTGGAACACTGTTCCGCCACCACACCTCGCCTTGTCCTTTACATCTCAGCTTGGATGTTGTCCCTTCTTCTTCTTCTTCTTTTTTTTTTATTTTGAGACAGAGTCTTGCTCTGTCACCCAGGCTAGAGTGCTGTGGTGTCAGCCTGACTCACAGCAACGTCAAACTCCTGGGCTCAAGCAATCCTCCTGCCTCAGCCTCTTCAGTAGCTTGGACTACAGGTGTGTGCCACCACACCTGGCTAAATTTTTTCTAATTTTAGTAGAGACAGGGTCTCGCTCTTGCTCAGGCTGGTCTTGAGCTCCTGACCTCAAGCGATCCTCCTTCCTTGGCCTCCCAGAGTGTTGGGATTATAGGCGGGAGTTACCATGCCTGGCCAGATGTCCTCACTTCTGTGCAGAGTTTTTCTATCCCTGAAGATTCAGTTGGGTGTTCCCTATCATGTTTTGTACTTGCCTCTTCACTTGCCTTTCTCCCTCACTCTCTTGCCAGCTGTTGTTCTATTCCCAGTTCTACCCTTAGTGCAGAGCACATGGTGTAGGGGTTCAACAGCAGTCTCTTGAATCAATGAATGAGTAGTCAGAACTAGAAAGAGTCTTTAATAGCTGCAATTTTTTTTTTTTTTTTTGAGACAGAATCTCACTCTGTTGCCTGGGCTAGAGTGCCATGGCATCAGCCTAGCTCACAGCAACCTCAAACTCCTGGGCTCAAGCAGTCCTAATGCCTCAGCCTCCCAAGTTCCTGGGACTACAGGCATGTGCCACCATGCCTGGCTAATTTTTTATATACATACTTTTAGTTGTCCAGCTAATTATTTTTTTAGTGGAGATGGGATCTCACTCTTGCTCAGGCTGGTCTTGAACTCCTGACCTTGAGCGATCCGCCCGCCTCGGCCTCCCAGAGTGCTAGGATTACAGGTGTGAGCCACCACGCCGGGCCTGCAATTTTTTTCCCTGCATTGATAAGTAGTAAATATTATGCTTACATTTTCCAAAGAAACTTTCAGAGGATAGCCTGGGGTCAGTGCACAGTTGGCCTAATCACTTATTTCTTCTATAGCTTATTTTTTTTTTCTTCTATAGCTTATTGATAGCACTATACAATGATCCTTGCCTTAAAGTACCAAAAGAGCCTGTACCATGAAGCAAATATTCAATTGTGCTCATAGCTCACTATGCCTCAGGTCTTTTCCTAAGGCAGGACAAGGAACTAGTGAATTTAAAATGATTTTAAAAAGAAATTAAGCAAAAACTTTACTCCTTATATTTCAGTAATTTCATCTTAAAATATATATCTGAATTTCTTCTTTATTGTAAAAAGCCACAAAATATGTTCTTTTAAAAATATTTATTATTAATAAAATAATAACTAAAATACTCCTATTTCTGTGCATTCAGGTTAATTGAGGTGTAATACTTTGCTTTTCACAGTGTAATTGTCTATGCTTGTTGTCAGATAAACTAAGCTATAACTACAATGTTGGGCTGATTGTTATTATTTTAAATAGGAAGAAGAGCTTCAGTAATTAATAACTTCTGTACTGAATGAGATTGAGAGGTTCTGTACTTGGTAGATGACTCTTTGCCACGAGATCTATTCTTTTTAAGATGTACTATTTTATAGATCTGTAATCACATTTTCATTTTTGTATCTATATAATAATATTTATATGTGTGACAGAGAGGGGCCGATAATTTTCTTTAGATTCTCACATTATTGAGGTTTAAAATATTAATATAGGTAAATTGTTATCTTCTGAATTACACTATTACCATAAAAATGCTGTATAACTAACAAGTGTAAAAATCTTATATGACAATAAGTTTGTATTTCTCTTTCCCATGTCTGTGATCAGCTGAGATTCAGTTGATATAGCTGGTTGGGTTTGGCTCTAAGTGATCAGCTGAGATTCAGTTGATATAGCTGGTTGGGTTTGGCTCTAAGTTGAGGGTTGGGGCCTGGTTTGCTCTGTATGTCTGTTATCCTCTTTGGACCAGTAGTTACCAAATGTACGTTCTCCTCATAGGGAGATCCCTATGTTCTCCTCCTGTGGGATCCCACATCACATCTGCTAACATGCCATAAGTCAAAGCGAGTCTCCTGGCCAAACCCAACACCAATGGATGGTGAAATATATTCTGCTCTAGTGGGAGGAACTACAGAGTCACATGGCAAATGGCATAGATTTCAAGAAGGATGAAGGTTGGGAAAAAGAATGTATTTCATCACATCATCCATCCAAATAAAATGCTAATCGATTTGGGAAGGCTCACACTCCCCAAAGATTTCACATTTGTAACTAAATGTGGTTATAAGAACAGGGACAAAAGTTCTTCTGGGCCTTGACTTAATGATTGGAGAATCTCTTAAGTTTTCTTCCAGTTCTCAAATTCTATATTAAAATTTTAATGTGGCAAAGAGCATTGAATATAGCTTATATAATTCAGTAGTTTTTGGCTAATGAGGAATGGGTCTATCACATGCTTCTCCGTGATAGAGATGGGGGTTGAGGGATGAGGGGCAGAGGCTTGTGTAGTCTGAAAAAGTACCTCTCATTATTCTGTAATTCCTTCTATTCCCACCTCCTGGCAGTCATTAGAATAACACCTCTACACTTCATTTTCCTTTATTTCCTGATAATGAAACAGATCCAGGATGCCTAGGGGATCTAAGTTCACACAAATAGGTTTAAAACTCAGGCTTCTTGACTTAATATTAAGTGCTTTTATGCTCTTCATATCATTGTTAAGTGAGGACATGGATTTTGTGCTGATGAGACACTGAATAGCTCTATTTGAGAAATTATATATATATATATATATATATTGAGACAGAGTCTAGCTTTGTTGCCCAGGCTAGAGTGAGTGCTGTGGTGTCAACCTAGCTCACAGCAACCTCAAACTCTTGGGCTCAAGTGATCCAATCCTGTCTCAGCCTCCTGAGTAGCTGGGACTACAGGCATGTGCCACCATGCCTGGCTAATTTTTTCTCTCTC